CGCGACGCTGCCGCACCGCGATGACTTATAAAAGAAACGCTGCCGCGATGAATTATAAAATAAACGTGCCGCCACCGCGCCGCTGCCGCGACGATTTTCAAAAAAGTGTTTCTAATTTCACTGCTGTGACTATATTTGACCAGAGATATGGGTACTAGTCCATCAGATTTATTCAATATCAGGGCGTTTCATTTGTAAATCGTGAAATTCTATTAAATTCACACAGTTTTTCAATGTCCTCCAAAAAAATCCTGCCGCTGCCGCGCCGCTGCCGCGATGGTTTTTTAAAAACCTGCCGCTACCGCACCGCTGCCGCGATGACTTTTAAAAAAATCTGCCGCTACCGCGCCGCTGCCGCGGTGATTTTTTTTAAAAACCTGCCGCTGCCGCGCCGCCACCGCCACCGCGGCAGCGGCAGCGCCGCGATGGACATCTCTGGGTGCGAGATCTGATTGATAAAGTTGATGATCTTCTTTGTTGTACTTCCGAACAAACGAAAGTGTTGCTAACTACAGAAAGTCGAGTACGACTTCATGAGAAGTTGAAATGTATTGAGATTAATTTTGACTGCTCTAACATATCTCTTGTACATTCGCGTTCTGTATCTTCTGTACACGAAAAATCGTATAAAAAAAATGATGATAACATTACTAACTTCTTACCATCAGTCAAACGTAAGGAAACTGAAGATTTCATTAGTAGAATTCATAGCACGACATGCCTAGATAAGCGATGGGTCGTAATTTTGGGAGATTCAGCATACGGAAAAACTACTTTACTTCGTTGGATGACACGAGTGTATGCTGAAGCTGCCTTGCGTGGAGATGACAAAAGTTTCTTCCGTATCCCTATTTTGATTCGAATAGGCGAATTTGCAGAGTGGCTTAAGCAGCATTCAAACTTGACATTGATGGATTACATAGGTAAACATACTTGGTTTTCACAACCGTATAATCATGATGACGTTGAAAATGTACTAAAAGAGTTCATCTATCATGGCCATGCATTGATTCTTTTGGATGGACTAAATGAAATTCCTATCTTCGAACAAAGATGCGAAATTATTAAACTTGTAAAAAATTTTATCGATGATTATGTACGTGCACCAAATTTTCTTTCACCATTTGATGATGCACCATTTGACATTCAGGCATTATCTAGTTGTGATAGAGTTGGCTTTGAAAGAGAGATGAGTTCACAGAGAAAGTGTATTGGTAATCAGATAATTATTACAAGTCGTATTGTCGGATATGATCTATGTCCACTTAATAGTCCTTGCATCAAACATTTCTCCTTGAAAGGAAAGGAATGGAATGGAGAGAAGTATTAGAATTTGCAAATCAATGGGTAAAACAAGTTGAACAAAGTCTACGTGTTATTTTGTTAGATGAAGGAATTAACTTGGGTGAAATAAGAAAAGAAACTTTAATAAATAGACTAGATAATATTATGAATACAATATATATTAGTGATAAGAACCAGATGAGTCCTCACATGATATCACTTCTCTGTATGCATATTTTTTCATCATCCGATAAATGTGCTCCTAAATCACCAATTGAAGTGTACAGCTATAGTGTTCAGTCAGTATTACGCACTTGGGCAAGCCTAGAATCAAATATATCGGAAAGCATCTTGATAGAATTTTTCACCGATCTTGCTGCTTACATCCATTTGCAACCATTGTCTGATCTCATCGATGAATTTGATATGAAAAAATTGTGTTATTTAGTTTTGAAACGATTAAATGTATCAAATAATCATAAAGAATTACAAGAATACACAAATAAGATTATATCTTTGCTCAATTCAAATAGTATCATTGTAGCTGAACAAGAACTACAAGTATTTACCTTTATTCATTTATCTTTTCAACGATACTTTGTTGTACAAGCTCTCATAAGAGAATCTTCTATTGAAAATATTGTAAGACGATTTTTTACATTCATGAATGAACGTCGTTTTCATGAATCACTTTTAATGGCTCTTGGTTGGATTAGTTTGAAATGGTTATTCAATAATTATAATCATTTTTGCGATCTACTTATTTCTTATCCTACAGAATGTGTTCTGCCATTAGGAACTCTTCTTTTATTTGATGCTCTCAAATATATTCATAATTTACCATCAAAAGAGGTAATCTTTAAAGCATTCAATAATTTGTTAGATCATCCATCAAAATTGATTTCACAAAAATACTTAAAATCATCTCAATTACCTATAGAACTCATTGTAGAATGGATGCAATTAAATATTACAAATGAAAAACGTCTTTTCAAATTCTGTCGTTGTCTATTACATAGTGAGTGTCGATCCTATATAACATCTACAGAAAATACTCTAGAAACAGTATCACCACGTCTCTTTCAACAGCTGTGGTCATTACGTAATATAAGTCAAACGGCTGAATTACTCATTGATCAAACATTACATGAAATAATGAAATTCTATGAAACACCCGATCATATTTTTGAGAACAAATTATATTCATATTTATTATCACAGAACATTTGTTCATTTAATATTCATCCATTGATTTTTTCTGTTATTCTTGCATTGTGTGGTGGATTACATTTTACATGTAAGGAAAATATTGCAAAGGTTCAGTTCTCTCCAAAAACTATGCATCGTGAATCATCAATGATAGAACCAATTATTGAATACTTAGTTAATATCAAACAATCTCATTCAATTAAAGTTCAAACTCTGATCGAAAAATATGAAAACGTTCTTCAAAAATCTTTACCCAAAGATATTTCATCTGAGATTATTGATACCTTTATTGCACTTATTTGTTTGCGTGGTGTTTCAAAACCATCGATGTATGAGAAGTTTGATGGATATGATGCACTACCATTGGTGCTTCTGAGATTTAAACAAATCTTGCTATACCTGAAGAATTTATACCGTTATTGTCATAGTATTTATACGCATCAATGCTCTCTTGTCTCCGAAATTGAATCAATTATAAATGAATTCTTTTGTCAACCTAATCAATCTGATGAACAATTGGTCAGATTTTCGTTTGCATGTATCGCTGCATGGAAGAAACTTGGTCTCTGCTGTTTATCAGATTTTGTCAACTTTGACATTATTCAAAAGAGTAATATTAGTCAGTATTTAGAAGTTCAATTCGAATATCGTCATTATATAACACCACAGCAACGAAATAATAATATCCTACAAATGACAGAATATACACCATTTGACTTACTTGTATTTGTACCACAATCTCTCCAGCAATTATTCTATCGTTTAATTATTTCACCAATCGATAAACGTGAATCTTTACCATTAATAGTACTTTTATCAGAATGTCTAATGCGCTTAGAAAATATTAGATATTATAAAACAAATCACTATTGCGCCCTGTCTCTTTTATATCCATTATGCAAAGAACACAAGTTAGAAAATTATTCTTCAGTCCTTTTTTGGGGCGACAGATATAATAGTGTTAGCCAAACGCATCGAAAGCAATTCTTTCAACAAGTAAAAAATCGTGAGTTGCTTGATCGATTTTCTACAGATGTGTCTAAAAACTGGGAACTTCTTATTAATCAGGAACGTGAACGTATTCGTGTAGCGATGTTAGATCAGAACGAAGGAGATTTACATTTATTTGGTGCGTGTCTTTCTCTTGCTCGACTCTTTCAAGCTCGTTGTCGTTCTTTCAAAGGTCAACATTTAGAAGGTAATATCTCTATTTTCACTACAGAGACTGAGGAAATATATTCTGCAACACAAAATATACGTGGCCCGACTTTACAATTGATAGTGTTAAATATCATTTTACGTTTAAACAAACCTTTGATTTTTACTGACGAGCAAATTAATCGATTGAATCGACAAATAATTGTTTTATTGAACGACTTACTATTAAATCTTCCATTGTTATCGTCAACATATTTGTTCATTCAATATTATGAAAGACTTCAATCTTTTCCTAATTTTTTTCAACAACTTGTTAAGATAATTGGTGAAAAGTTTAATGAAAATTCGATTGATAAACAAAATCAAGAAGTTGCTTATATCGCATTACGAATGTTAAATGACATTAATCTCTCATATTACTTATCAAAATTCGAAAAACAAACAACAAATCTGTCGGATCTTCTTCGCTTCAATTCATCAACATTCTTTCATTATTTTTCTGATAAATCATCATTCGATTCATCAGATATAACTCTTCTTTCATCTATGTATCTTATTGAATTAAGTGCCGACATTCAGATTTTAGAGATGTACATGAACAAAATTCAACAAAAAAAAATTTCACCTTTGGAAGAATTAGATCAATTATGGAAAGATCCTCTCAAATATAAAGAAATAATGACTATTGAAGTTGCAAATTGGATTACGAAATACTTGGAGTTATCAAACAGAGAATACATCGATGGAATTATTGAACGAGTTTCATCCTGTTGTATTGTTGAAGAAACAGCTTACGAAATTATTCATACATGGCGCGTGTATCGAACAGATAAAGATTTGAAATTTTTTGCATATTATGCCGTTCTATTTTGCATTGAAGACAATTCGATTGAAATTCTTAATGAAATGTTTGATACTCATAACTATTTACATTTGAAAAATGTTATAAAAAATTGGCTTGAATTAGAATCGGTTACTTCATCTTTTGTTTCTAATATATTGATTCCAATAATTCAAGGTGCTTATCGTATTCTCATGCATACTTCAGCTTATATTCGTTGTAAAGAAATTCTTGATTTATTATTGACAATGGAACAAGAACGAATACTATCTGCAGTTTCAAATAGATCATTTTTATCGGTGGTTCGTAGCTGTTCAAAGAACTTACAGCCTTATCTCATCCAGCATCTTCAAGATTTTAACATAAAAAATCAATTTGAAAATACCATTAAAGAACAATATCTCATTACCATTATCAAATGGATTATTCTAGAATCTATTGATACTAACAATACAGAAAATATGTCGATAGAAGTATATGAATGTATTATTACATTTCTTCACGATCAACAAATTCCTCTCGTTCAAACGATGATTGCTAATGGTATTAATGGAATACTTATTAGTGACAGAGCAAATAAAGGACATGTTTTTATAAGAGATGATTTAAAGAAACAATTAGAAGATATTATAGATAAGACAAATATTGATAGAGAAGATCTTTTAGCTGCTTGTTTATTAGCATACGGAAATTGTCTACTAAAGTTTAACTATCTTGAAATGAATCAAAATGTTTCAATTGAAATACAGAATTTACTTGAACAAGTTTCTCTTATGTCATCATCGGAAATTATTTCTGCAAGAGCTCTTTTATGTTCACTTTTCTCGAAAAATGGAAACGTAAAATTTCAATGTTCATCCAACTGGATAAAGAATAATTTGAATTTACCTGTTCAAAAGAGATACAATGTCTTGTTACAATTAACATTATATAAACATCCTAGTTTGAGTTTCACAGTTGAAGATGAAATTAAAAATCATATAAAAGCGCATTCTTCAATGCTTTTGGATAAGTTTCTTAATGAGTTATACGATGATTTGTGTAATAATGATAGTAAGAATATTTTTTCTGAATACAAACCTGATTATGTTCATATAGGTTGGACTCTTTTTATTTCTAAGTCTGATATGTTTTTAGATGCTTTGCAGAAAACGTCTTTTCGTGAGCAGAAATTCAAAACAGCACTTTGTCAAGCGAGTAAGGCAACAGACGACATATGGTGTTTAGGTTTTTATGCTAGTTTTGGTGAGCTTACAAATGAGTTTGTTGAAATATTAACAAATGTTGGGGAGAAATATGAGTCCAAGCCCGAAACTTTGAAATCACATTTTCGTAAGATAAAAAGTGTATCAGGTCGAGATGTTATCGAAAATTTATTCGAACTTTTTCAATTGAAATTTCGTTCGAAATCAAAATTTTCTATTTGAATTTTAGAACTACTTGTTTATCTCGTACAGCAAGGTTTTATCTCAGCGTTAGATGTGCATCATCAGGTATCGATTGTTACTGGTAATGGATTATATGAATATGATAAAATAATATTTAGTAATGACAATGATCCTTTTTTTTGTTTACTGAAACTTAGAAAGTTTGAAGGGATGAAAGACAGAGGTGAAGAAGTTAGATTTTTAACTATGGAAAATATTGAAGTCAATTTTAAGAAAAACATCCGACGTGCAGATAAAGATTCAGGTTTTCTTTTTGAAGAATCCTTTAGTCTCGATATGTAATACATTTGGAATTATTCAATAAAAGAAGATTATATTATTCTTTTAATCAAATATCACACCTGTACTCATCATTCAAAACTTAAAAAGAAATTACTTTGTATTTAATTCTTATAAACTTCAATGTTGTGTATTTTTAATATTTTCTTTTGCATGATTAATTCATCTATTTTTCTGTATGTTTCATTTATGCAAAAAATGTAGTTTTTAGATTCATTATTTAGTCTCAACAACACTTAATCTAAGATAAATAATCTTGTTCATACCTAATATACATGCTAGAATTAAAAAGGTGTAGGAATGGGTGTAAGTGAGGATGTGACTGTGGCTGTCGGTGTATGCGTGAGTGGTGATGTGGGTGTAAATGTTGGTATGAGTGAATAGTAGATCACATTCACATTCACACCCTCTGGTCCGATCCGTTCAAGATAGAAAAATTACAACAGGATCAACATTAGTTCGTGGAAATAAAACAAATGATATAGATTCATTTTGAACAGCTTTATCAACAGTATTGATAATTCTTTTTTTTTGTATTTTCATCTTCACTGTTCAATTAAGAGCCAACTTTGGGGAAGTTTTAATGATGGTGGTTTATCAGAAACACAGAAGATAACATTCGAAAAACAAAAGTTTTAATAAATAAAGTAGATTTTTCTTCTCTTCGATTCATTTCATGCTAAACCTATCGAATCAAACTTTTTTTGTTTATATAATAAAGACTAGCGGAAGTACCCGGCGTTGCCCGGGAAAGTTCAATCTTAATATTTGCAAGCAAAACTCCTGTTGCGCTCGAGAACATGTAAGAAAACCTACTCAGTGGAGAATAGACACGCATAAAATCCTTTTTTTTGTCCCTGTCTTGGTTCTGACTCTTGGACTTGTTTTAAGTCCCGGCCCTGGCTGCTCTCGCTCTTGGCGGATATGAAATAGTGACAATGAAAAATTGATCAGAAGTGAAGGATTCCTCGTCCGTACACGTCTAGATCCAGAAGTGCTTGATGAAACTTATGAGTTCTATCGACCCTTTATGTTGGTCAAGCATTTATAAGAGCACATACTTGTCTCGATCATCCCCAATCTCAACTGATCCCGATTGTATCTGGACACGTTCCCGGTTCTAGAGCTGTCTAGTTGTGTTTCTATTGTCCGAAAAAAACTAAAAGGCGAGTGGCTATTTTTTGAATAACTTTTGATAGGAACAAGATAGAGAGATGCGATTTTCACCATTAAAAAGAGAAGACCCAGGTGCATAAATCAGGGCTTTTAATTTGATAAGTCAACACGAATTTTTAATTTTAGGATAATTATATATTTTGTTAATGTATAATAAAGAAGAGAATAATGATAAATATAATAAATATTAATAGAATTTTTTTGTTTTGTTTTTTTGTTTTTTTTAACTAATTTTATTATGTTTAACAATAGAGAAAGATAATAAGGCAAAAAGGAGAAAAAAGAGAAAAGACAAGGAGAAAAATAAATAATTAAATAGAGTATGAGGATAACGCGAGGCCTTTCGAATTAATTCTTTTTCAAGCGATTTTTTGCATAAGCGAGTAATCGAATACAGTTGAGAAAAAAGCATTTGAATATTACGGGAACAGCAAGACAGATTGTGGATATTGGTGTGTTGTTGTATTTGTATGCATTCTTTGCATTTTTGACGTTTTTTAATTTTTCCTAACGCATTTTAATGTGTTCCAATGTGATTTAATGCAGTTTACTGTATTTTAATGTATTTTGGACATTCGTTGTTGTTCTGCTTTTAATGCATTTTTGGTGTTTTAATTTGATTTATGTATTTAATGCATTTTAATGCAATTTTGGTATTTCATTTAATGTTATGTATTTAATACATTTTAATGCATTTTGGAATTTTTCATAATGCGTTTTTATTTTAATTTAATGCATTTTTGGAAATTTTTGATAATCTTGATGAAGAGTCTCCGTAATGAGTTTTTGATAGTTTTTCTGATAATGTATCTTAATTCGTCTAATGAAGCTTTTTTATTTAATATTTTGATATTTTTTGATATTCTTCGAATAATACGTTCTTTTATATTATATATATGAATATGATAATACATTGGATCACATAATGGTGATCATTATATATATGATATTAAATAGGATGCTGAAATAGGTATTCACGGCACAATGAGCATATTAAGGAGAGGTATGCTATGATATATGGGGTGTAACATAACTGAGGAAAATGGGGTTTGACATAAATGGGGTTTGATATAAATAAGAAAATCAATATACGAAAACAATAAGAAAACAACAAGGTATGTAACATAAATAAGAAAACAATAAAAGAACAACATGGGGTATGTAACTCTAAGCCATTAATACGGCACAGTAAGGTAAGACGAGAAGAACTTTTTTTACAATAATTTTAGGAAAATGCAAATACCTAAGAAATATTTTATAAAATTTTTTCCATTGAATATGATAAGATAGTGTTTTACAATAAATATAATAAGAAAGTGTTTTACAACAAATATGATAGGCTAGGTATAGACAAGGCAATCTTTCTTCCATAATTTCAGAAAAATAGAAATATCACAGAGATATTTTAAATCGAACAGTATAACATGTGTTAGTTTTTGTTAGTAATGTTATTGGCTAGTTTTCTTTTTTTTATTATTTATTATTTGTTCTTTTTTTTTCATTTACCTTATTATTAGGATTTTACTGGTCGATTGACTCTTCTTATTAGCTACTATATTTAGATTAACGTCTTTCTTTTAGATTGCCGTCTTTCTTTCTTTCTTTTTTTCTTTCTTTTTATTTTGTTCTTATCTTCGATTGTTATTTAAATGCTGTTGATCGTTTTTGTTGTCTGATTATTTTGGAAGGACTCTGATTGCTTCTTTGCTCGGCTTCTTATGGACCAGTAGATGCTTGAGACTATCAGTCAGCCGATTTGCATACATGACCGGAATATCATGTAGTGGTGTGCCTTCGAATATCTCTTGCCATATTTGATGGAAATGTGAACCGAAGTGAGCTAAAGATAGTGTGTATGTGAAATGTAGAAGGATGTCTGTACTGAAATCAATTTTTCTTCTTTCTTTTTTATTCCATGCTACATTCAATACTAATTTCCTATACTTTGAGTGATCTTTACCTAAGGGTGTGGGTGTGGGTGTGAGTGTGGGTGTGGGTGTGGGTGTGGTTATGAATGTCTGGGTGTGAAGAGATAGATCACACCCACATCCACACCCACATTCACACCTACACCCACACCCACACTCCCACCCACACCCCACCGACACCCCACACCCACACCCACACACCCCACACCCACACCCCGCACACCCCACACCCACACCCAGCATTTAGGCAACAATAGTAGAGTTCGTTTTGTATTTTCATATTTTAAAATAGTGCGAGAGAACTGTAGAAAAGTGTAGGAAGAAATAGAGGACTAATATTAGCTAACATCGTAGCTGTCGTTTATACATTCACGAACAATGATCACAATGAATTAATGAAGAAAGTGAAAAAAAATATCTTTTCGTTCTTTTGCTTCTGGACAATCATCTCCAACTATTTCAAAGAGTAAAAACTAAATCACAAGAAGGGAAGTAATTTAGCTCTGCCTATTTCTCTTGAGAAATTAGGTGAATATGAACGCCAATATTCGAAGAAAAGAAAAGTTAATTAACTTTTCTGATTTGTCTACACAATGCACGTTTACTCTATGGATAACTAATCGAGCAAAAAGAAAATGAAATTTGAACAAATTGTTCAAGTTTTCTAGCATGGCGACACATAATAGTAAGAATGAATATAAGACGACAAGAGGGATGATCCTAGTCTTTCGGTTTCCGTTTTTCTAATAGAATGCGGCACTTGTATCAGAATAAATGAAGACAAAAGTGTGAAAAGCAAACTAAACTAACTTTTAACACTTTTTTTCGGAAGATGGCCACAAGATGCATAATCATTCAATGCAAATAAGAAAATGGGAGTATTTTCTCATTGAATAATTTTGTTAAAATCAACACCAACTAATTGTAGAAGAAAAAACAACTAAGTACACTGGACCAGATTTCTCGATATGTGCATGGGAAGGGAGCTGTGCCTGCAACCAATTAAAAGAAGAAACGCAAGATTAAGCAACTTATGCTGTGTTTCTATAAAGCCTGCGATCAGTCCTGGAATAGATAAACGATGAAAGAGAAAGAATAAACACAACTAACCTGTTAGAATTTTCCCAGAAAAATGACTAACAATTCTCGGAATAACGAATTTGAAAAAAGAAAGGGAAGCTTGTTTTCATTCTGTTGCTCCTGTAATACATCCGGCCATTATCGAAAAAAGTCAAATATAAAAAAGTAAACTAAAATAACTCCATTCGTTCACTCTTAGATATTATCGGTGAAATTACAAGAAATTTTAGGAAAAACTCATTGAAAACAAAAAAAATGGAAACCAATTTTTATTCTGTTGCTTCTGTAGCAGCTCCGGCAACTATTCGGACAAGTAAAAGAAAAAAGAAAAAGGGTGAACTAGCTTTCTCCGTTTCTCTGTTAAAAAAACAACTAAAGTATTGGTGCAATTCAACGAAGAACAATAAAGTAAACTACTAGTAGCTTCATCTTTTTCGATAAAGTTGACAACCACTACAAACATATTTAAATGATGAAAGAGAAAAGTCCTATGGAGCCAATTAATTCGGATTGCCACGCGGCATTGTACCAATACGACAATAACTAATTGAAAAAAACAAACAAAACAACAATAATATAACAAATGAGTTTCTCCAATAAAATTGCTAGAAATACCATGAGAACTGAATAAAAAAGAAAAATTACAGCAAGTCATCTTGTTTGCTTTTTCGCAGAAAGTAGCAGATAATGTTCAGAACAACTAGAGGTGCAAGTTGAGTGTGTGTGTGAGGTGTAGGTGTAGATGTGAAGGTGTGAGCGTGAATCGGTAGAGGTATGGGTGTGCAACTAATATCAACATTGATACCCGACACTCACACCCTCAGATATAGACAACAATCCCTACTCATGAGATCTTAATGAAAATGAAAGAACCGACTTCAAGACTGAAACCTCGTAGAATCTTCTGAAACTTAAGAAGTCTTTTGAAGTCTTTCATCTCTAACTTTTAATATACGGCAACGTTTCATGAATGTGTGTGGCTCTTCTCTTCATTCACATCTTCGTTGAGTCATTCAGTAAAATGAATGCAGATTTCTGATGATTAAAACTTCTTGATCTATCAATATATCAGGAGTATAATAACCACGTCCCAATATCAATTGGTAGGTGATTCTATCTACCAAGTATTAGTAAAACTGAGTTAAGTATATTATTGGATCGTGTTTTAAATTATAACCTCAAGCTATCAATATATTAGGTTTTTTCTTTGGGTCAATTTTTGCTTTCTTTTCGTGTGTATCATTCAATTGACGACTATTTTATATAGTTTGAATGTGCATTTAACAAAAAAAGAAAAACAGAAATAAAAGTGAAATATAGAGAGGGAAGAAGGCAGCAGATCAGACCTATATAGATACGGAAAAAATGCATATGCATATATAGTACGAAATGAGATGATGAATAGAGAAAAACACAGCTATTATGGAAAGAAAAGCCTATAAATAAAACGAAAAGATGTAACTACAATGTATAAATATATTTAACTAGATATACCAATGGAAGATAAAAGCTAATAGCAAGATAGAAACTACACTGAAGAAAATGTAAAGGCATAAATTATAACGCTGATAATATAATACTACTGATGACAGTAGTATTATTAGAGTTTTATTCGTACTAAACTAGTTACATTCGAGTATTACAGAATCGTTGCCTTGTGCTGAAATTTAACAAACCAAGCATGTTTGGGTGTAGGTGTGAGTATGGATATTGATGAATAAAAAATTACACTCACATTCAAACTCACATCGAAACCCGTACACCCACATCTACAGAAACATTTCTATTAATGTTTTTTTCTTGGATAAAGTTTTCAGCTTTATTCTAGAGGAACTTGAATACTTTAAATAGCTGATAATTTTTTTTTCTTTGACATATAGCATATATGTGAATAGAGGGCTGATTGTTCTATCGATTGATATGGTTTGAAGGAGATTTACTTTTAAGTCTAGGAAGTGGGTTTGTAGACGAAAAGTAATAGAAACTTAACTCTTCACTAATATGACAATGGGGAAAAAATTGAACAGATAAGGTCACTTTTATTCTCGATTTCTAGGAGGAATAGTGATGAGTCTATTTTATCTTAAGCAATTTTTATTATTAGGTAGCTCTCTGTTGCCAAATTATAAGTGTGCAAAAGTTTCATTGAGAATTACTTGAACTTCATGAAATTTCCTGACAAAATATAAAATAAACAAAATAAGACTATATGATTCGATAAAGTAATTGATTTTCTATTCGACTATATCAAACTAAAAAAAAGCCTTTGATACTTGAGAGTGTGGATATAGATTGGTCAAGAGAGGAATCGCAAATACATTCACACATACACACAAAGATACTCAACCAATCGGGAGCCAATGATGAAGAGAATTGTGGCACTTCAAATAGTATTGAAATATTTTTTTTATTCATGGCATTCGTCTTCATTCAGTCGATCTTCCGAACTTTATAGGACAATCGTGATCCATTCGATTTTTTTTGTTTTTTAGCATGAAAAATAAACCTATTGTAATATAAAAAATAGCGAAAATTCATCAGAGTTGATTATAATTTTAGTTTAGCTTTGATTTCGTCGGAGTCTTAATTGGGTTTCAGAGATTAGTGCAGATCACTAGTATCGATTCATAGTTATTCAATAGAAACGCAAAACGATAGATATTTGTGCGTGATTCGTCCTTTTTTCGTTAAAGTTTTTAACTTGAGGGAAAACACCTTTATCGCAAAAAGAATAAATAAAGATAGGTGATTGACGATAATACTATACTAAATAATTGTTTTCTCTCTTTCCTTGATATGGGCAAAGAGAAAAGAAATATATAATGTAGTTTTGTGGAAATATAGATACCACAAAAAAGATTAAGTCTTATAGTTTTCATTTGTTAACTGTTAATTTTATCTATCAAAGAAAAACAACCTTCATCTAAAATGGAATACTCAGTGCTGTGGGATGTACGCACTCTTTTAAGTAACATCTACAGTCTCATTCTCACGTACCCACACATCAATTTTCCAATGTTTTAAATCCGATGAACTCACACGAACTCATCAATAGTGTACGCCTGAATGAAGACAGATGTAGGTGGAGAAGCATGTGTATCTATCTAACCACATCCATCTACAACAAATTCATTATGTAATCGTTGAAATTATTAGCATATTTCAAAGTTAAAATTATTCGTTTAATGACGTCATTTGAAACCCAAGGCAGCCGAACAAATGATACATCCGCAACTGAACATTATCGTAAAAATGGAGAACGCTAAACTAATATTAAAAAGAAACAATAATAGAAATATATGTAGACAGATATGAAGTACAGTGACATTATGTCATAGGATTGGTGTGATCATCATGTTGCATGATTGATTTTACACTCAATACCCGAATGTTACCCAATAATAGCCGAATAAAAGGAAAAATTACTGTAAGAGTCCTCAGAAAATTGAAAAGAACTATTAACAATTCCCAATGATGGGATTTTAGAATTTATCGAATATTGCTTTTCATATATTGCGCCGATCACTATACTGACTAATAACATTGAAGAACCCGCAATAAATATTAACATTTCAAAATGCAAGAACCAGTTTGACATCGGTTGCTTGAGTCATCACAGCTCAAAAGAGTACTGCTAGCGTCATTGTCGACGATGAACCTAGGTATTGCTTTTTTTTGAATGATCATCGATTGCTTAGCTGTTGATTCTAGTGATACCACAATAGAGTCACTAGCGGTTTTAGCCAATGACTTAGAAGTATCATCGGTGGATGATGCAGATCTTTCATCGCTTATTCATTTGATACTTACTAATATTACCATAAACGGAGTGTTGTTAAAAGTCTATTAAAAAAAGGAATAGCGTTTGATTGTGTGCGATATGGCTTTGTTAAAGTTTATCTTAGTACGTATAAACTGCATGTAAATACAAGCCATGGTGGAATGGGTGCATACGTGAGACTTTTTTTTAATATCATAAACATCCACGCCTATCCTCTAAGCTCATTTAGTTCATAACATTATTGATAAGTAAAGAAAGTTAAATTGATCTTTCTATGGCTTTCAATGTTCCACAAGAAGTTATCTTGATTGTAGAATTGTTTCTTTCCATGATAAATGCAGTTTTGTTCATGATAATTTGAAAAATATATCTATTCCAGACGATTAGATTTCGAGTGGTTTAATTATGAACTATTGTTCTATTTAGATAGAATTGAATTTCTCCTAAAAGTAATCTTTTCATAACTTCTATTATCATTTATGGGACACAATATGTGTACTGAAATGTAATACGTATCATTTGTTTTAATACATAAGCATCGGCATTATAAAACTCTGATGACTTATGAAAGATCAAAAAAAAAACATTTATTTTTCATGTGCGAACACCAAAAATCCAACATAAAAAAAATCATTCACTATATTGTAACACAACAATTCTTTCGAAGAAATAAAAAGCAATTAAGACAAAAGGAAAAGTCTATAAAAAAAAAAGAAACCTAAACAAATCGATAGCCTGATTGATAATTATATTTGTCAAACAAGACGAAATCACTGAAACGTTTGTAAAAAGAAAGATGAATCTTATCGTCGAAATTGAACAAGATAATGAAGTGTTATTTGTGATTCATCAAAAACAATATATTCATTGTATGCACATCCATGATAACCATGTTTTGAATCTTTACAATTAATCAATTGATCCAATGGCAATCGAACACCTAGAATATTACATATGTTAGAACAATTCAGAAAAAATCATCTTAACAGAAACAAACCATAATTTCGAGTAATCGTATGTTGAGGATCAGGTATTTGACGGTCATTTGCTATAAGACTTTGATATATTGTTAAATCCAATGGTTCATTTAATTTTTCATCATTATAATCAACTTCTTGTGAATTATCTAATGCTACTTTACAAAGAAGCATAAAACAACGTTCATCATCATCATCTTGTCCAACACCTGAACAATATGCAAGACTTTTAGCGAAAGCATCACCTGTATAAATTCTCTAGTATACTAATTAAATTACAAATATTAGTTCCATGCTATAATAAATAATGATTTTCAAAATTTCGTTGAAATAAACGTTCATCATCATTCGGTCGAGCAATTTTAAATATTTGTTCTATTTGAATATTAGATGCACTCGTCCAAATATAACGTAAAATAAGTTGTGAATCAATATCATCTTTATTCATTGCTTCAAATTGACAATTTATTGATTTATATAGATAATCTAATGGTGATATTCGATTTAAATTTACTTGAGCAGCTAGAAGAATTTTACAGGATAATTCTAATTCAAGAATATCATCAAGTTTTTGTTCTTGTGCTTTAACAGCTTGTTCACTATCAATCATCAGTAATCTTTCATCATCATAACCTTTTAAAGGTATTATAGTATAGTATTCATTCGTAAGTTTACAAATAAAATCCAGAAGAAGTTTGAATTGACTTTTTTGACTATCACATCTATAGATGATTGAGTATTATCTTTTTGTTCAATATCTTTTTTTTAATTGTGTTACTATCTCACGTGCTTTATATAGAGTTTCAGGTCTCAATTGAGAAATAGGCATCCATTCAACATCTAATTTAGTTTTATCAAGATTTATTCGTATAATTTGAGGATTAAGAAATGTTTTAAAGGGAGATTATTTATAAGTAAATGATTGTAATTTTGATGGTAAATGTTGATCATCATCTTGTAATTGTTGAAAATCAATTGGAACATTAGTATATTTATGTATTTGACGTTCATTTAATTGTATTAATGTATATTTTTTGGTTTATTTTGAAAATGATCTATATTTTCCCATAAATTACCAGTTTTTTCACAAAACATTTTACAAAATTCTTGTCGACATTCATCTAATGATGAAAAAGGTGTCAATTGATGTTGTCTATCACCATCACCAATTCGTCATCAACGTGTAAATAAGAGATAAAGATTTGTTTTACTTTTATGTTTAATAATTTGTATTCGATAAAAATTATATAAACCAATAAAACCATAATTAATATCCGTTATAGTCAAACGAACATTGTATAGTTCATTCGTTTTTGTATCGATTAATACTTCTCCTATTTTACTTATATCAGATAATGGATCAACTTGATAAGCAGTATTAAGAGTTGTTGATGGATGAAGAGATATATATTGATCAATAAAATTTTTCAGCATCTGAATAATAATTCGATTGATCGAGAAGTTTTTTATTTGGATCATTAATATAAAAACGTTGAATGATCTTGTCAGTTAAATTCAATTGTTGTTCATTGATTAATATTTTTAATTTATCATATAAATATTTACAACTATTCACAATACTGTGTTGGTATGATGATAGACCATTGAGATCTTGTTTAATTAATGAAGATTATCATTTGGATTATAAATTTTATTAAGAAGTAATTTCACCATATCAATATTGTTCTAGAAAAAAAAAGAAAAATAAATACAAAATAGTTGAAAATTAACTTTCTAATCTTTGTATATTTTACCTGACGAACATCATATATCAATGTTATTCGTTTTTCTTCATCAGAAAAATTAACATCAGTATCAAGTTCAAGTAAAAATTTTACTAATTCAAAATGATTATGAACAATAGCATTGATTAAAGATGATGTTCGTATATGAGAGTTGCAATATATTCAGATTTCATTGATGAATATGAAAATATATTGTCTAATGATAAATTAATACGATCAAATAATAGAGAATTTAGAACAATTTCATTATCATAATTACATAAACAATCAATTGATTTACCAGAAGTAATTAATATTCGAAAAAATTCTTTATTAAATGAACTTCTTGTAGTCGATGACTAAAATAATAAACTTCTTTTGTAAGAAATTAATAAATGATATATTTTGTATGACATAAGCATAATGTAATGGATATAATCCATATTGATCAAGTTCATCAAATATTAAAGATAAATACTTCTTGCCAATTACGTTGAATTATTAAATGAATCAATGAATATTTTTTAATAGATTTATTCTTTGATATAGATGCAAAATTCCATATCCAAGATTTTCTATTCACTATTTCTGATGTTGTTACAATTGATTTTAATGATGAATTTTCTATTATTATATAATGAATCATCATTTGATTTAGTATATAATTGATTTAGATCAATATCAATTGGTTGATGAAGAAATGTAATAAGAAGATCTAAATGATTTGATGCAATACAAGCATCAATAACAAAATTCGATAAATTATTTTCAATTAATAAATGTTTGATAACAGTTAAATATAAACGAGTACTTGTTTCTAAAATTTTCATCGATTGATTTCGATGATGATTTATTTTCTTCGTCTATTAATTTTATTCCTAGAGCTGGATCACATTCAATTATTTCAAGACAATATCAAATCATATGAATAATTCATTGATATTGTTTTTCTTCAACTTCTTCATAGAGTCGATTTCCTTTACAAAATTCATCAAAAACGTGAAGCACAATAATGAAATGAATTTCGACCTTGATTATCAATCATTTGATCCATTGTTTTCAATTCATTTGTATCAAACAAACTAATTAATGTTTGAATCAGATTATTATTATCAAAATTCATAGCAAAATCATGTAATAATGTTTTACCATCATGACTAGTGTCTAAATTTAATTCAAGTTTAGCTTGATTAATAAAAAAAACTCAACAAGAATAAAATTTTTCGATTCAAATGCAATCATTAATAATGTTTGAGCTTTGTTATCTATTTGAAGAGGATTACATTGATGATCAAATAATATTTTCTTTTTTAAATTATTACGTCCTTTTTCATTTAAATATGTAGAATTTTGTTCCAATGAATTTAATGCTAAAATTAGCATCAATAAATTTACAATCAGCTTTATGTTTTACAACAACATATTCTAGCTGTTGTAGAGATGATGCTGAAATTTCTACATCAACTGTTATTATAACTAATGTTAAACCATCATCAGTTTTTAAATTAATATCAGCTTGATATTCTGTTAAAAGATAATCACAAATTCCATGATGTCCTTTAGAAAAATCAACTCTAAGACATATTGTTTGCCAACAATTAGCACAATTTAAATTAGTATCAGCTTCAAACAATAATCGAACACAAAAATACCATCCATATGCAATAGCATAATGTAAAGCTGTATTCATTGATGAATCAAAAACATTTGCATTTGTTCCCATACGAAGTAAATGTGAAACAATATGAGCATTTTCATACATACAAGCATGAATTAATGGTGTACGTTTAAAACGAACATGTGCTTCAATTTTAGCTTCATATTAAATTAAATAGAGTACAATATTTAAATATCTTTCTTGACAAGCTAACATCAATGCTGTTAATTTTTCCGTAGATATACTCATAAATCCATTAATATGTGCACCAAATTCAACAAGTATTTTAACACATTCTTGAAATATAGAATTGTTTTTTTCTGTTTAATGAACAAAAGAAAAACTTAACTTACTAATTGATTATTCATAGCAGCGTAATGAAGAGGATAATATCGTGATTTATTCATTATATTGATTGATGCAAGACCAAATTTTTTATGTACAATCTGATCATTGGGTTCATTCGATTCGGGTTTTTCTTTTGCTCAACGTAATAATAATTCAACATTCATGGCTCTCACAAACAGCAGCATAATGAATTAGTCGTCGTCCATATTTATCCGGAATATTATACTCAGGTGCGATATTTAGTAATTGTTTTAAATATTTCAAATTTGGATTGATAGCAGTACAATGAATAGGTGTTATCTAAAATTTTTGCTTTAGAATTTTCTTTCGAAATAAAGAAAAAAACAAATAGATAAAGTCGTACTTTAGAATCTTTCGTTTTTTCAACCGCATTGCAAACACCATGAATAACATTAGATAGAAAAATACGTTCTTGTTAAAGTTTTTTTTTTTCATGACTTTATATATAAAAATCGACGTTAATGTTTCTTTTTCTTCCTGCAATTTTTGTATCGCAACTGATAATCTTGACATAAACAATTATATTTCTAGGTTTGACATTTTATTTTACTTTTTTGCAAATCTATTCGTGTTTATATCTTTTACAAATTGAAGAATCTCATGAAAAAATTTTTTCGGGTCTATATGTATAAGTTTAGTAAGCAAAAAGAACAAAATATAAAGTAAAACATTGAATTATTGTCAAATAATCAATGTCTTTGACAATTATATAAAGAAGAAGAAAAAAAAAAGCCCATTGTCTGCACACAATATACAACATAAAATATGTAAACAAAACAAAACAAAACAAAACAAAAAAGATCATATTGGCTTTTTTTTTAATGTGTAAAACAGACACGATTCAAATTGAATTTGTTCTATGATTTATTATGATGTTGAATTAGCATTATTTCCAGTTTGAGATTGTTGTTGTGGTGTTGATCCAGCTGACACAGACCAATAAGGTGGTGGTGATGCTTCATTGGGTTTTTCAATTGTATTATCATCTTTTTCAGGTTGAATACCAGGTCCATAAGCAATCTTAACAAAAAAAAAACAAAATAATATAATGAAAATAAATAGAATATTAATTTACTAATTGAATTTCGAATTGAAAAAATTTTTCTTTTATTTGTGTTTTAATTCCATCACCAGGTACACCATCCTCATCAAAACTAAGAAAATATCCTGGTACATGTACTGATTCAATATAAATAGCTTGTGCTGAACCTAACACATCTTGTACACGAAATTCAGCTTCCTTTGGTGGTTTTTCAGTTGATGATGATGGTATAATAACAAGTTTACCATTTCGAATACCAAGATAATTATAATTATTATGAAAATAATATCGACTATGTTGACCACAAACAACAAGCCAATATGCATTAGGAAAAAATGGACCTGTACCACCAATAGCATCACATATTAATTCATTTGTTTCTTTTGAAACAACAATTTGTATTGAACGATCAGATGCTCGAGATTTGAATTGTATAACATTACCTGGTTTTAAATAAACACTGAAATACATATAAAAGCGATATTTAATTTTATTTTTATTTTCAGGAAAAAAATATTAATTTTCTTACCGAGCATCTTTGCCTTTGACTAATGAATTAACTGTATTAGCTGCATTTGTTAAATAATCACGACCACCTTCAACTTTTGATGCAAGATCATAGGCTTTTTCTACAGCCTTTTTACCAAGACTACCGAAAAAACTCATCGTATTATATGGGATGAAATAAGATCTTTACAGAATTTATATAAAGAATACAAAAAGAAATTCACCAATTCTAGAATAAATGATTCATGGATGAAAAATTTTATCTCATCTGATAGTGACGTCATTATATTCACCAATCAAATTCCTCAATCTACTGATTTCCTATTCTCCCGCCATCTTTTTTATGCACAAGGGAAAAAAAGACCGGAGACATTGAAAAAAACAAAAACCAATGTTTTCTTTATTTTTCTCTATACAAGATATATATATATATATATGTTATACAACCGGAGAAAACAAATAGATTAGAAAAAAGAAAACGCAACATAACAAATATCTATTTTAAAAATGCAAATGAAAGAAAAATCTCTCGATCATATAAAGATATTCGGAAAACAAAAAGAGAACCGAGATAACTAACAATATCGATGAACTTTTTTTTTTTTTTTCTTTTTGATTAACAGTGGCATATTCATATACTGATCGATCGAAGTAAATAAAACAAAAAAAAAGTAAAATGGAATGTCTAAGTAATCAAATGAAAAAGAAAACAAAAAAACAAGAATCATCACTCTTCTCTATACATAATGAATTAAAATTAGAGTGACTAGTGATACAAAGAAATGTTTTTCTTTTAATTAATTATATGTATATATATATATATAAATATGTTTGAATATTTCGAAAAGCAAAATGAAATCAAATAAGATCGCATAAACAATAAGACAAAAAAAAAATCATTCTCTTGAAAAGTAATAAAGAAACTGTACACGTACAAAAACAAAAAAAAAACAACTACCCGAAAGCAAAAAAAAGAAATGAATATGATGGAATTTTTCTTTTTTCTATTGTTTTTCGAGTATGGCTGGATCTTCAGTAAGAATTTTTACCAATAAACGATCAATATATTCACGTAATTGTCGATTCATCTTTACGAGCTAAAAAAGAAAAACAGAATCAATTAATAAAAAAAAAAAAAATAATGTAAATGTGTTAAAAAAATAAAAGACAACAAACATGCAAGAAAAATAATTAACTATGAAAAATATTTGTTTGCTAAATACAAAAATAATAAACAAGTGCTATATTAAATATTCCCCCATAGAAGCATAGGAATGAAACAAAACAACGTCGAAGCATAAGAAGAAAGTGCGTACGATAGATAAAATATGGCTTGAGTTAGAACGTAAGGAAAAAAGCATTAAATTCAAATTTAGGAGAAATTCGACGTTACAGGCGACAGTACTTGTCAGCAGGTTCTTTTATTGTTATTATTGTTGAAGATGAATCTTTTTTTATTGATTCAGTTGATTGTAAATTTTGTGAAACAACAGATTTATTATCTGTTGTTGTTGTCAATGATGATTGTTGTTGTTGATGATTCATTGATGGCATTCCCATAGAACCAATTGATACACCACTACTAGTTGTAACTTCAAGTAATTGAGGATTATTTTCAATAATAACAGTTAACATTCGTTCGATATATTCACGTAATCGATCATTAATTGAAAATTGTTCTTTTAATTTCTTCATTAACTGCAAAGATTTATATTAAGAAGAACAAAAAAAAAAAATAAAACAAGAAACATATTCACACAGACGATAAATTTCTATGAAAATTTCTATTGATTTTAGTCAAGAATTATTCGAGATTATTTTTTTCAAACGTTTTCTACAGATTAAAAAAAATATATCTACTCTTTCATACCTCATCTTTAGAAAGAACTTCAAGTTCAGCAGCAAATGATTGTGTATCTGGATTAGCTAATAAGTGTCGACCTTCATTAAGACCCCTATAAAAAAAATTCTAAGAAATTAAACAAAAAGATCTTTATGTTTACGAAATACATACGCTACAACAGGATTTTCTCGTAATTCTTTATTTTCTCGCCTTAGTTTTTCATTTTCCTAAAGAAAAAAAAAAAAAAAAAGTTTTTTTTTTTTTTTTTTTAATTTTTTTTTTTTTACATACTAATTTCAATTCTTGAAGTTCTGCTATAAGATCTTCCATACGTATTTCCGATGCTTTCAAAATACTTCCAGTTCGACTATAAGTACGACTGAGTGGATTATGTGATAATTGTTCAGCAAGCTAAAAAGTTTTTTTTTGTTGTTTGTTTTTAAAAATATAAATCGATAATTTTTACTTGTGCATTATGTATTTTTTCTGCTTCAAGTGCTGCATTTTGAAGACGTATTTGTTCTAATAATTTTTCATTATCATCTGCAAGATTATTACATCGAATTTGACTATCATGTAATTGAATATCAACATCGTCAAGTTTCTAAAATAACATCACAATCAGTTTTTTTGAAAAAATATTAGAGAAAATTATTTGTTCATATAAATGTTAGTACTCATTGAAATTTTTAATTTTATCAAAAAATAGAATGATTATCCTTTGTTTTATTTAGACATTGATACAATCGATACTAGAGGTCCAAATAGGCCACTAAGGCTATTCTGATCCTGACCCGCCTGTCATAGGTATCACTTATGGTTTTCAGACTAGTGCAAGTCATAGGTCGCCTGTCACTTTCACTAGTCTGAAAACAATGGGTGATGCCTATGACAGGCGGGTCAGGATCAGAATAGCCCTAGTGGCCTGTTTGGATCTCTAGTTTCTAGTCTGTCATCATTATTGTACTCGCTTGAAAAACTTGACAGGTCTAAAAAACGTGGCCTGGGTGTACCTCTGATCGATACTGTGCTCCCTTCTTGGAAATAGTTTCAGATCTTTTTGTTTTTCCTATTCTAAGGTATGACTATGGCAAATTTATAGCTTCGACAATTACTTAGGAAATTTCTCTCGTAAGTCTAAATAAAATTTCAAAAAGAAATGAATATTAGCATATTCAATATTTAAAACTATCTTTGGTAAAATTTCAACCTTAATATAATAAACTTTATCTATGCATTAATTTGTAATTATCTCAATAAAAATTACCTGTTTTAATTCTTTAACATCTTTTTTCATTAGTCCATTTACATTTTGTGTCTGTTTAAGTTCAGTTTCAATTGCATTAATCCTAAACAAAAAGAAACAATAATAATAATTAACAAAATGTATTCATTTCTAATGTTTAAAGTGTTAAAATTGAACCAACACCTAATATTTATCCGTTAAAAACTAAACTATATGAGTAAGACAAATACAAAAAAAAAACCAATATCCACACAAAATACACATATGCAAGAAGAAGAAGAAGAAGAATAGATTATAATATTAAAATAAAAACATAAAAAAAAAAAAAACAAAGCTCACAAACCTCATAACACTAGAAAATATCAAAATTAAATAAATTGTTTTTAAATCAAAAATGAATTTTTTTGATTGAAATTTAAACAAAGAAAACACGAAAAAAAAAAACAAAAAACATATTTTACCTTGATTGTAAAACTTCTTTTTCTTGTAAAAATGTTCGATCTTTTTGACTCTAAACAATTAAATGAATTTTTCAACAGAAAAAAAAAAAAAAAAAATTTTTTTTGTTTAAACATACAATATATTCTGCGTATCGTTGTTGTTCACTTTGTATTGTACGTGCTTGTTGTCCTTCAAGATCGTGAAAACGATCTTCAAGTGCTAAAAGTCTTTAAAATCAACGAAATAAATAACATATACAAAATCCAATCATCATAACTTTACCTGCTTTTTAAATCACTATTTTCACTTTGAATTTTTGCTAAACGTTCAGTTGTTGTTTGTTTTTGGTCTGTTAATGTTTCAAGTCTTTTTTGTAATTCGTCAACCTAAAAAAAAAAAATTTGAATTTTTTTTCTTTCTAATCAATAATTAATATTTCAAATTTTATACGAACTGTTTCTTGTAATTGTTGTTCAACTTGTTCGGTTGGTATAACTGGTTGTAAATAACTACTTCGTTTTAATGTCTGACTATAAATTAAAAAAAAAAAAAACAAGATTTCGAAAAATACTATCAAATAAATAAATAAAAAACATACGAAGTACGTTGCAATGGTGTTCGTGGATAGACGGTCTCAGTTGAATAAGTATTAGAATTTGGTTCAGCTACACCAGTAAATTCTTCATCGTCACCGTAACTATATTTAAAAAGAACATTTTATTACATAGACGGCGGTGAGTTTTTGGATATGCTCGATCTCAGTTTCAGAGCATGGGACCTAGATGAAACTTATGGAGAGTGATATTGGGTCTGAGTTTTTTATTCAAAAAATTTTTGTGATCGAAGTTTGCGAAAAAGTTTTAAAAAATCTTATTGCTTTTTTTTTGTAGTATTCTATTTTTTAGAATTCAATCGATAGATTTCAAATTTCACCTAAAAATATGCGCATCCGTTCAGGAGTTATAACATTTTGAATCATTGACAGATGGCATAAAAATTTTCGCAAAAATTCAAAATCTTATAACTCCTGAACGGATGCGCATATTTTTAGGTGAAATTTGAAATCTGTCGACGAAATTCGATGTAGATTACGATTGAATTCTAAAAAAATAGCAATAAGATTTTTTGAATAAAACTCATCATTTAGGCCCAATATCACTCTCCATAAGTTTCATCTGGGTCCCATGCTCTGAAACTGAGATCGAGCATATTCAAAAAATCCTGCGTCGTCACTGCATTTTACTAATGAATTATCATTTTAGATTTTTATTGAGTGATGCTGTTCCGTTGAAACATTAAGGACATAATCTTTAGATTAAAAACTGTTGTTACAATATTTTTTTTGAATAAAGATAAGATTATTTATTATAGAAGCCATTTCAAGGTTCTTTTCTTTTCAATGTCATAAAGCTCTATATTATATCGACTTATTAGTTTTATAATAGCGCTTAAAACATAGAATTTCTTATATACAAAATTTGTAATAATGATCATTTATTTTGAATAACAGTTTATCGAACGAAAAAAAAAAAAAACAAAAATCCCATTCTTTTTTGTTGACACGAACATTGTCTTAAAGTATATTGACCTTCACAATTGCATGTGCGATCGTTGTTTCGTTTTATTAGATTGTAATACGTATATTTATATTGTAGTGAAGCATCAATTTATTTCTAGTCGAAATCTAATTTTACTTTTCGTGTATAAACGCCATGTCAAGCAAAATTCCGTTTGACTTTGATTCTCAGCATAGATTTTATGATACGAAATACATCTTTGATAATCTTTTTAGTCAGATCGGGCTTCGAAATTTCGGCCCAAGGACCTAACTATCTTCAGGATGATGATTAAAAATTCTGGGCCGAAATTTCTGTAACTCTCGAAATGTTTTTACTAGTTAGTATTGTTTTTGAAGTGAAAGTCAATAACCTTTTTTTTTTGTTTTGTGTGTGTGTCATTTTCTTCTAAACAAAAGTTAGTAACTTTGATTTTTACAAAATATTTAAACATATAATAATTAACACTAGAAAAGTTTCTTATATATTGAAATATACATGTTTTTCAATTATCTTACTTATATATTAATAAGTTATAATATAATAAAACTTACAATGGAGAATCCAATCTTGATGAGTTTGATGAATTATTTCTATTACTGTTCTGATGATGATTAGTAATTTTTTTTGTATTCGTTGTATTATTTATTGATGTAGGTGTTCGAATATTATTTGTATGTGATTTATGATGAAATAATTCGTCACTTTCAACGTCGTATTCGTTAAAAGTCGTTGTACTACCGTCTTGATTCTGAAACATTTAAAAAAAAAAAGAAAAAAATAACAGCTGCATATGAAGATAATATTAGTTATTGACGAAATAAAAAAAAAATCTAATAGCAAGAGCAAAAATTATTTTTTACTATGACCTCTTCTTGTATAAGACTAGGCCAAGAAGATAGTGAAGAAAAATTGAATCCATGATGTGTTCTCTATAGAATACAAAAGAAAAAAACAAACTCGGATATTATATATCTTTTTTTTTTTTTTTGTTTTTCTTCTGTTTGTTTCTTTTTTTTTATAATCAAATTGTTTTTCTTTGGTTTCTTTTTTTTTGCTTACCAAACTTCGTCGATCTGAATCTTCAACTAATGAATTTTCTCGACTACGACGTGTTAAATCGGATGCAACTTCTTTTAATGTTAATCCTTGTAGAGAGCTTATTTGAGAAATACCGTCACAAAATTGTTCAAAATTAATTAAACCAGTATTATTTGGATCTAAAGCTTTTGTAATACGAGCAAGTTGCTAAAAAAAAAAAAAAAAAGAACATATATTTTTTTTTTTTTTAAAATTTAATAAAAAATGTTCAAAAAAAAAAAAAAAAAAAGAGGAAAGCAAGAGAATAATGATGACCTTTACGTTTGACTGGCGCATATAAAATGTGAGGTGACATATACACACACACATATCTATGTACGCACACCTGACTCTAGGAAAAAAAAAAACTCATAATGCCCCTGAATTGATAGATCCTAACTTGATAATGAAGATGGTCTTTTTTTTTTTGAAAATATTAAAATTTTTATTCTTACTTCAGCGTCTGAATAATAATTATTAGCAACGTCAACAAAACGACGTAATTGAATTTGACCTTCGTCGTTTTCGTCAAGAATAGAAAATACTTGTTTTAAATCGATATCCATCATGATTATTTTCAATTAAATTTTGTTTGATTATTATCGGAAATATCATGCTCTTATCGATGAAAAACACATCTAAATAATAAAAACCAAAAAAAAAAACCAAAAATATGAATGAAACTAGGTACAAATAGATATAGTAAACATTCACACAATTATTTATCTACTATTACTGAATTGTACCGTTTTACATAGCCGAAAGGACATGTTAACGATGCAATCTTCACCTTTTCTCCTTCCTCATCATTTTCTTTCTCTCAACATACAAAACAGGCCAATTAAAAGAATGGCAAAAAAAAAAAAAGCGTACGACAAAGAAAAGTTCGATTTCCGCTGTTGTGACAAACTAAATACAGTTCAACCTATGCGGTATGTATAAGAATAAAGAAAGCTATGTTACTTACATATACTCACACCCACAAGTTCAATAGAGAAAAATGTATTAAAGAAATGAACGAAAAGATAAAGACAATCAATATTATAAATAAGAACAACAAATCGATCATTTTTGTAAAGTTTATAATGTAAAAAGAAACATTTATGATAATAATAAAAATAATCATAATTTATGTACAATGATTGAAAGCTTCACTCAATTTAGTCTGTTGAACGAACTCATGTCTGACAACTATTGACTTCTAGTATATATAGATATATATATCCACTGATTGTTGGTTGCATCACGATTGTTTGATGAAAGATGCAAACATGCGACTAGAGAGAATAAAAAAAAAAAAGAAGACGAAAGAAAGAATGCAACCGGTAGATAGATAGACAGAAATATATAAAAGATTGGTGGTATGTGTACCGTTATAATCTGCCATTCATTCCAGAAATGATGAATGATAGAAAGTGCTAAATGCATGCATCTGTGGTCCAGAAGGCACCTAACAAAAGATTCTCGATGTGATTGTTATGATCGAACAAAAGATTAATTTATATTGCAAGCCAATCTGTCTACTATAATGACGATCGAAAAGCTGAACAAGTGTAGATATTTACCATGTAATTATAATAAAAAGGTTCCCACGCAAACATAACTTGTTCAATATCCTTAATTGAACTTTCATGACGCGTGTATGCACTTCACGACTATTACGCTCTAAATTAGTATACTGAGATAATATGAATAAAAAAAAAGACAGACAGACCTACGGTGACGCATAAAAGAGAGAGAGCGAATGCAAGCATAATCACACACATGTAGAATATTAATAAAAAAAAAAACTCAAACATTGTTGGCTAACAGGTGGAATGAATCATGCAGTTCTTTTACGTTATTGTTTTCTTTACCATCCAAAATAACAAAAAAAAGAAAGTACAGAGAACATATTAATTCAAAACCAAACTATATATATATATACTGTAGCCAATAAATCAGTCAATATTACTCATTTTTCACAAGCATAACTGACTCAATTATACACTTCCATATAACTATTGAGAATGAAAATATGCGGCACTGGACATAATAGTTTTTATTCTGTTTGTACTCTTTTTCTTTCTGTCTCTCTCTCTCTCTCTTCCTTCTAATACCATCATGATAATAATAACAATTATAAGTGGGAAAAAAATGTTTGGATTGTTGGTCAAAACAAAAAAAAGAAAGTCTAACGGTCGTTGTTTTCATACCTGACTGCTTTTTTTTTCTATACCTGAAGAGAAAAACCTATTTTCCATTTGAAAAGAGAACAAACACCATCAACATTTACTCGACCTTGTCCTACTATGAACAGATATATATATATATGTGTATATATTATACCCGCATGCTTGTAACAGATGTTTCGATTAAAATTGACTAATCATTAACGAAATGAACGTTTACTATTTATAAAAAGATGAAATACCTATTCAAATATGCGCTTAAGATATCTATTGTAGGGATGCTATGACAAACGAAGTATTACACAAGTAAACGTAAAAGAAGAAAGATGAGAATAAGTTTCATAGTCAAAAAAGTTAAACGAAAGATCACTATTACACAAGCAGAATGAAAAGCTAGAACAAACATATAAAATAAAAATAAAAATAAAAAAGAAACAACGAGAGAGAGCAAGTGTGTGTGTGTGTTGGTCAGTAAGCAAAAACAGTAGAAGTAAAAAGTCTTTCTTTTTTTTTTTGAAGAAAAAGAAAACATAGAACTGAATTAAAAGAATAACAAAAAAGAATAATGAGAGCAAATAAAGTGACATACGTTTACCTATTGGACATGAGCATAACCAGTGAAAAATAGGTGTGACATGTTTAATTGAGGTTTCACGATGGAAAGAAATCAAAATATGGTTTAAAATTAAAAGAAAGTTATTCAAGTAATGTAAAACTATTGAATAGACTTTTCTATTCGTAGAAAAAATCGATCGCTCGAAATTTAAACTTGTTCCTAGGAATATATTATTTGTATTTATTAGTTAGTACTTGTTGACATTTTTATGCTTCTACACCTTGAAGTAATATCTCTTAGGAGTTAAAAATATAATGAAAAATGAAATAAATAATGAAGATTAAAAATATCTAAAACTGCTTGTAAAATTAGTGATTTATTTGAAAACTATTTCAATCAAATGAAACTTATAGTTTTTAGATTGTGTAGTCTTTTTTTTTTGTTATCAAAAAGATAAAATACAATGTCATTTATCAGTCCTTTTCAAAATAAAAATCCTTCACCTTTCATAAACAAGATACCCTTTAGCGCTGACATGCACTTCTTATCTTTTTTTTTTTTTCTTTGCTAATTTGAAGTGTATATTTAATTTTATCAACTTACTCAAAAGAAAATATTATATTAGTAATCCAGTTCAAGATGTTATTTTATGAAATCTCTTTTTTACTAACTGACACGATCATAAACAATTATAGATTCACTTGATAATTTTAGAATATCACTTCTTTGGTACATAAAACAAATTCAAATAAGTTTTATGTTTATTTTTATTTTTCAAACGTTTTGATTTAAAACAAATAAATATAGAAAATACGATAGATTATTTTTCATGTTTGAAGAGAAATGAATTATACAAAAAGTTCAATTTCTCAATATTTTAAATTTATCTTTACTGATAAACTAAAACAGACAAGAATTTCTATATGCGCATTTTCATGTTTATTTATAAAGTATCAATTTAGCATTTTCGAAATAAATGTGAATACATTTCTATGCGAACTGTGATATAGAAACTTTTGCCTAATTAGAAAACATAAATAAAATTCCAATAAAATGGCTGTAACTCTGGAGTGAAAACCTAAGAGTATTGATTCTGTTGAAGTTTTTCATACAGTCTTTACCCAAGCTAATAACATAGATCATGAAAATATCATATCCTTTTATGAATTTTTTTATTTTTCAAAAAAGAAAAAAAAAAAAAAAATGAAACATATTAGTTGTTAATGTAAATTAGAATCTGACATATTGAAATGTGAAGAAACAAAAATTTGTCATTCACACATTATCAGAAATCAAAAGATAGATGACTCTGAATACTAATATAATACCAATATTTTTAAATTAATTTACTGTATGCAACAAGTAATCGATTTATTGTTGGTATACGAGATATAAGACGATAAAGTATATAAGCTATTACTGCACATGTACCACCAGCAAGAACATCTAACACATAATGATGTCGAGAATATACAGCAGAAAACCAAACACTTAATGTAAATAAAACAAATCCTATATGTAACCATATTTTTTTACTTAATGAACCATAAAGTACAGTTATTACTGGATAAGCAGCATGTAAAGATGGTATAGCAGCAAAAACATTTGCATTTTTCGAATACATTGATGAAAATATATTTATTCCTGTAATTTTATCAAAATGTATAAAACCAGCTGGATTACCAGGTGCTTTCATATTCATATTAAATCCATGAATTTCAATATACCATGGTGGTCTAAATTATAAGATAATGATAAACAAAAAGAAAAATATTTTAAAAATAATAAGAACTTACGCAGCTGGTACTATATAATAAATAACAAAACCAACCATATTTGTTAACAAAAATGTTAATGCAAAATCAATATAATCTCGTTTGCTTTTATATCGATAGAGGTAAAAACTGTATGCTATTGGTATAGGAATCCTAGAAATAGAAAAAAAGAAAAAATTAAACTTCATGACAATGATTAAAATATTTTCTGTCTTGATATGACTGATTGCTACTTAAAGAAAAAAAAAAAAGTCGTTTTTAATATTCTACAGTATATTTCATCAGTAGAGATAGCGCGAAAAAGTTCGAATAGAAGGAAAGAGACATTTCCAAATATGTGAGAAACGTATGGTCCGATGCAATAGCATGTTGAGTCAGTGAAAACTGAGTAGATATAGTGTAAAAACTATTGTCGCTTCAAGCGACTTATAGATTAAAGTCCAATATTGAGATGAATACATAGAACTCAAACTATGTACGGCATGGCAAACATAAATGCAGATTTCTAAAATATTCTATCTTGTCCTGTTGGAAATATTTTTACATATATCTCAGAATAATTTTTGAAACTTTTATGTTGCCGTAGATGAAAATTAGTTTACAAAATCCCACAATTTAGAGAAAATAGAGTTCTGATAATTTAACTAGAATGAAAGAATGGTATAGTCTAAGTCGATGTAAGATATTGAAACATTCTCAGTTTATTTTTGATTTGTTATTGTCTGTTTTCACTTCTTAATTTTATTGATTGTTTATTTGTGACATTTTAACATCCTCTTGTCTTTTCCTTCCTTTTCCTATAACCATAGAACTTTAATTGGTTTATCGTTTACTTCTTTTCTTTGCGTGTTTAGATTATCGCATGTCTTAGTCGTATTCGCTTCAGATACAAGGCATACATATAATTGAAGTTAGATGATTAAACTAAAGCAATTATTGAAATAGACAAAGTTTTCTCAAAATTCTACAGATCGAATTTTTAAAAATAGAAAGGAGATACTATTACTAATCACGCTATCCCTGTTTATCAGATAGCGCCGAAATCAAGAACTAAGTAAAAATAGTCA